CACACTCATCTAAAGCCAATGGTGATGACCAGCTGTGAGATGAACCTATGGACTCTTGTATTTTTGAAATCTTCATTTTTTTTGATTTTTTGAATATTTTTTGTCTGGCCGGGATTTGTATCCCGGTGGTTCCCAAACGGTGGCCGGTAATTTCCCCCCCAAGGGAATTCCGTCTCCTGGGGGGGCAGGGGTGGCAGGTGCAGTGGAGAATTCCCCTTGGGGGCTCAAACCCACGTGCCTTTTCCACCACAGTATCCAAAGGAGCCCTTAGTGGGCTTTTAGCTTCCTCAACACAAGTTATACTCCATGGGCGAGGGATGTGCCAAGGTGATCCTCTTTCTCCCATTTTTTTTAATTTCAACACGGGGGACGTTCCCCACCTGATTTATATATTGGCCCAAAACGGCTCGTTATGAACAAGACATTTGTGTACATACGCCTTAGCACAGGGGCGATCGGTGGCATAACCACAATTACACAAAAGGAAGAAAACAACACAAAGACAAAGGAACTCTTCGATGATGCCTCTAGGGAGGTGGATGGCGTGTAGACGTAATCATCGTCGTCCAAGCAGGAGCTTAGCAAGGCTTTCGCCCGGTTCCTGTGCCAAGGAGAACCGCAATGGCCTAGCCAACCAAGGAGAGGAGGCAGAAGGGGGGGGGGTTCTTCAGCAATGCCTTCGACAAGGAAGGTCCGCCCGATGGCGTCCCTCGTCGCTAGCCCAGCCAAGAGCTGAGTTGAGCTTTCGCCCAGAACCCTTGCCATCGCACTATGGAGACGGCTCACTGCCCTCCCTGACAAGAGGCGCAGGGAAGGCACCCATGGACATGCAACCCCGCCGCCGGCTCACCCACAGCCAAACCGCGTGCACCGCGCATGCACGCGAAGAATAACGTCCAAGGTCACACAACCCCACCGCCGGCAAGCCCATGGCCAAACCACGCGCCCAGGGCCCTACACACGCACATGTAGAAGAGTCGCCAAACCGCAGAGCAGCTCCAGTAGATGCCGTGCAGAGGCTCCACCGACTAGGGTGGTGCGGCAGCTGCCGCCGCCGTCCCAGCGCCCTAGGGCCCTAAACCACCACGGCAGTGCTCCTCCACTCGGGAGCACTGCAACGAGGCCAGGGGCGCCAACACTAGCACGGGGCCGTGTTGGATAGCGGTGCATGCGCTGGGGATCCCGTCGACCAAGGAGGGTCGACCGCCGCCGCGGCGGATCTGCACCTAGAGAACCCCGATTCGCCCCACCGGCGAACCCAAAGGTGCCGGAGGCATTGCAGAAGAGGAAGGGGAGGCCGGAGAAGGAGCAGCGCCGCCGAAAGGTCAAGAGGCGCTCATCAGCACCAGGAGGGGGCCGTCATCGCCGCACTGGGTGGATCCGGTGCCGGGGACGGTAGATCCAAGGTCGGGAGGCCTAGATCCGGCCCGCTGGCCTACTGTCATTGTGGCGCCACCCTGACCGCCGTAAGCCATCCCCGCACAGAGGGCTCGTGACACACCTGGGAGAAGGCCTCGCCGCCCCCATCCTAGGGAGCCACGCGGGCTTCCCGGCGGTCCCCTCGAGCAGCGGCGAGGGGATAGGGAGGCTACGATTGGCTGGCGGCGGTGGCTAGGTCGAGCGTCGCCCGGGTCGCCTGTGCCGACTCTATATCCTAGAGAAGTCTTCTCCCATGTTATTCATCCTTGTTACGGATGTTTTGAGTCACATTTTACCAAGAACTTTGGAGGAAGGCCTATAGCGGCACCTCGCTAGGACATAATTGCAGCATTGTATGTATTCCTCTATATGCTGATGACATGGTTAGCTTCATGCGCCATCATAAAAATCTTGGAATGTGCGGAAGAGCAACGTTTATCCAATTTCAATGTGTTGATGCAAAGGGTGGACATTGCCTTGTTGCATGGGCTAGAGTATGGCCCAGAGCTTGGTGGCTTGGCATCTTGGATGTCCAACACATAAGTTGGGCTTTGAGAATGAGATGACCATGGTTCCAAAAGACCGAGGCTAATCGCCCTTGCGCCATTTTTTCTATCAAACTTCACCCTGAGCTTTCTTTTCTATGGTTGTGGCTACATAAGTGGGAGATGGTGCACATACCCTTTTTATGTAGAGGTGGATGGTTACATGGGCAAAAAATCACAGACATTGCTACTCGTTTCTATGTTTTGGTGTCTAAGCTAAGAGTGAACAAGCGTACTGTGCAAGAGACCCTTATTGTAAATAATTGGTTTGCTGATATTCAAGGTGCTCTAACAATGGGAGTTATCATTGCATTTTTAGAATTGTGGCATCTCAATGCTCAAGTAATATTATGACCTAGAGTGAAAGACACTCATTTTTAGCGCCTCTCCACTAATATTTATTCATCCAAACCAGCTCATGATGGTTTCTTCAAAGGGGTTGTACAATTTAGGGCATGGGACGTGTATGAAAAAGATGGCATCCAAGCAAGTCTAGACTTTTTCATGTGGCTAGTGGTGAATGGACATGCAGCAATTTGGTTTCCTCGGCGTTCATGGATGGAATGAGTTGGTAGCCATAGGCGAGGCTGTGCGTGGAGGCTGGCAATGACAATCTAGTTGGTCTCGTGCGGGGTGCAGTGCACGGTGGTGTTTACAATGCATTGGTGAGTTCGATGAGTATTGAGGCTATAGCAACCGACCTAAGAGAATACACGTCGATGGAGGTAGGAGATGGTCTTTGACAACAACAACTGCATAGGATTGGGGAGCTTTTTGTATGGCAGTTGTTGGCGACGGTAGAGTAGCACCATGCGCTAGAGGTGGCAACAAAGTTGGCTAGAGGGTTTTTTTGACAACATAAAGTTGGCTAGAGGTTGGTGCAGCACAAGGTGGCCAATAGAAGTGCACTGTTGCTTTGGTTTGTGTAGAGACCTTTAGATTGGCTACTGGAAGCATCCGCTTTGACGTGTTGTTTTTTCGGCAAAGTGGCTAGGTCGATTGGAGCTATATGGTCAGCGACCATAGGTAGTTGTCTGTGTGTCGGCTTCACGGCTTGCAGCGGGCTATATTGGGTATCCTTGCATGGCAGTGGTTAGTTCCGTGCAGGACAATATTGTCAGACGTCGCAAATAGAAACAATCTTGTGGCTGCTGCACAACTCGTAGCGATTTTCCTTGCATGGCAATGGCTTGCTCGGTGTGGAACATCGCCTTTAACGGTGCCACTTTCGTGATGAAGGGGGCAATAATGTGTTTTGGTGGTGAATTTTTACTGTTAGACCTTTTTTTTAAAACTAGGATATCCATTACTCGTCTACAAGAACATTTACGGATAGAGCTAGTGATCAGCTCTTGTCCCTCAACACACTCGAAACCCAACTCTGCCAATACATGGGCAGGCCTATTTCATTCTCTTCTTGAACACACACACAAAAGCATAAAAATTTAAAGCAACTAAAGACTTCAATTCATTCACCAGCCCTCCCTCCGGTCTTGCACGGGGCATCACCGAAGTCATCTCTTGCTGGAGCAAAAGGAAATCAGTTTCCAGGATTAATCTACTGATGCCCAAGTTCAGTGCAGCTTGGACACCCTCAGCCCTGCAATCGGCCTGTTCGCTGGTTGATTTCTGGGCTGATAAACTCGACTGGTGCTGGTTTGTTGTGAGAGGAAAACACTGTTGGCTGTCTGATAAGCCCTGGCTGAAACCATCAAGCAAACAAGTGGTTGATAAGCCCTGTCTAAAACCAACAAGCGAACAGGTTGAATGACTTCCGCGTGAAAAGCGCTCAGCAAATGATTGAGGGCGCGTTTAGTACTCAATTTTTTTTGTTTGGCTATTGTAGCACTTTCGTTTGTATTAGGTAATTAGTGTCTAATTATGGACTAATTAGGTTCGAAAGTTTTGTCTCGCGATTTCTCACACAACTGTGTAATTAATTTTTTTTCGTCTATATTTAGTACTCTATGCATGTGCCGTAAGATTCGATATGACACTTTGGGGTGAAAATTTTTGGAATCTAAACAGGGCCTGATTCTCCCTCGGCCTGTGAGCACCACATCACCATCATTGTCGCGTATGATGAATCCCCAGCTGCCTGAATTGGATTCAGCCTTGAAGGAAGCGTCACAGTTCATCTTCAGCATCCCCACTGGTGGCCTACTCCAGTGCTCCATTGGTCTTTGAACTCTCCGTTTTTCTTCCCCTTGTGTTTTAGAATTCTCAGCTGCGTACAGCCTGATCGAACGAGCCAGGGTGTCAGCACTCCTCCGCTTTCCTTCTTCGCGAATAGTATTTCTTTTTGTCCATAAAAACCATAGCAGTATCACCATCAATAGTTTATTCTCTCCTTCGCTTTCAAGATATGTTCCAAAGCCTCAACTGGTGAGCAGCTAGCACCACCCTATCTCCTTCAAGTGAAAGCAACTGCCACATGTTTCTAGCCAACTTGCATTTAAAAAATAAATGAGCTCCATCTTCCTCTTCCCTTCCACATATGGGACAGACAATATCTATTTTGAAACCCCGTCGAACTAGGTTGCATCGTAGGGGTGGCTATTATATGAAAATCGCCATATGAAGTGCTTGATCTTGCTTGGACAGTTTAGGTCCCAAATCTTGTCCCATATTGATCGGGTTGGTTCCTGCTGCTGCCCTGTGCTTCACCCCAAATAGCCCTTCTAAGCAAGTCATCTCTACAGACTCTACAGGCGCTTCTAACACTGAAGAGCCCCTTTTTATCATAGTGCCAGGCAAGACGGTTCCCACTACCTTCAAAAATTGGAATTGCAACCGTTTAATACTGTTAGTTCTCGTTGTTTTTATTATTGGAGTCATGTTGCTACCTCTATTATTTTACTCGGTCTGAGTTTATCTTTTATTTTAATATATAATCCGCAGCTCACCTGTTTCGATCGGGAAAAAAAACAATAACATGCATAAACATTCTTGCTCGCACTTGATGCAAGACAGATTTTCCTTTTTTTTTTTCGGGTTTTCCAGTCAATGTCAGCCAACCTATTAATAATAACTCCATCATTGCCTCTGCATGATCGGCGGTCGCTCCAGGACGCCGGCGTGAGACAGCAGCGCCCACAGCTGCGTCATGAACTCGCCCCCGGCGCCGAGCATCTCGGCGTGGATGTCCACGTTGTCCGACGGCGCGAGGAACAGCACGAGCTCCGTCCAGAACTCGGCAAGCATTTCCCACCGCCGCGCGTCGTCGCCGCCAAAGGCCGCCCTGAGCTGCCCCCAGAGCACCGCCGCCCTCTCGATGACGGTGGCGCCGGCGGCTCTATCGTACGTGCCACTTTCCTGCACGTACGGCCGCTCTGCGGCCTCTATCCCCTCTAGCCTGGCGACTATGCTGCTCTGCGTCCTGCAGCCATCGAGGTGGTCCCGCGCCTGCTGCACCGCCGTGTCGAAGATCTGCTCGGCGTTGTAGCTGGGGTCCGGCAGCATCTCCGGCACGAAGGCCACCAGGTAGGCGCAGTAGTTGGACAGCTTCTTCGCGACGAGCCGGTGGTGCTCGTCACCGACTGCGGCGCGCCCAGCTGGACTGAAACTGTAAGACCAGTCGCAGCTCGTGGTCACCACGTGCCACGCCAAGATCTGATCGGTGACCTTGGGAAGCCTGCACGCCCATGCCAGACGCGGCAGCAGATGGTGCTTTCGCAGGGTCACGACGCCATTGCTGAGCTGGCAATGGCTCTGCTTGAGCCAGAGGAGCACGGCGCGTTTCACCTCGGGCTGCAGCGGCTTCCTCCGGCCCCGCTTCTGGCCCTGCCGCCGCGGCTCCACCAGGTAGAGCGTCAGCCACGAGAGCAGGTTGCACGGCTGGTGGTTGAACCGCTTCAGGAGCACGTACTGGCCGACCTTGTCTTCCCAGTACCTGGTCTCCGGCGGCGTGATGCTCTGCTTCCACCACAGGTGGTGGCCCAGCCGCCGCCCTGACCATGGCCGGTCGTCGCGCACGCAGCGGTACACGGTCTTGACGTACCTCCAGTTGGAGGAGAAGCCGGCCACCGCCTGGAACACCTCGAGCCCCGCGGTGATCACGACGACGAGCATGGTGACGGAGCGGTCGAGGTCGCGCACGCCGATGTGGAGGCGATGGTAGCCGGGGCCGAGCGTGCCGAAGAACGCCGTCCACATGGTCAGTCCTGCCACGGCGACGGCGATGCAGATGTACGTCTTGGCCCCCACCAGCACGATATTCCTGGTGTAGAAGAAGTCGTAGAGGAAGGCGAGCTCCGCCTCGACGACCCGGAACGCGGCGTCAGGGCCGGTGGTGCCCATGTGGATGAGCCCGTTCAGGACGAGGCTGCGCGCCTTCTCCGAGCCGGCCTCCGCCGGAACGTACCCGTAGAACCGGCGCTTCAGCAGCTTGAACAGGGCGAACGCGAGGCAGAAGTCCTTGGCCCTGTCCTTCTCGACATCGCTGTCCGGCTGCTGATCGATCCACTGGTAAACTTGGTCGATCGTGACGACCGATTTGGCGGCGCTCTGGGAGAGCATGTTTTCACGGACGCGGTGGCCGCCGGTGTGGATGACCGGCTCCATCACCTCCTCGCCGTGGAAGATGTACGTGTACCCTTGCATGGTGACGGGGTTAGCAGCAGGCTGCTGGTCGCTGTCGTCGACGTACTCGGCCATGTACTCGGCGACCACCCTGACGGACAGGTCGGGGCGGCTGGTCTCGATCATCTCGGCGATCTTGGCCGCCGTCTTGAGCACATTGAGCGCCCAGAACGCCCAGATGGCGGCCCGGTAGCTGGCGTTGCGGCCGGTGGCGTTGATGATGAGCCAGAGCACGAGGCACGTCTGGAGGACGTGCTGCAGCAGCAGCTTCTTGCGCTGGTCCACGTCGCGGCGGCTGTGCACGGGCGCCGAGTACGCGCTCGCCTGGATGAGCAGCAGCGCGGCCGCCCAGAGCACGAACGTCTCGCCGCGGAAGGGCCCGTCCTGGATGATCCCCACGGCGTAGGAGACAACCACGTAGGACATGGAGTAGGCCATCCACATGGCGCCGCGGAGCAGCTTGTCGCTGCTCCGGCGGTTCGCGGAGCCGTAGAGCACCAGGGCGGCGAGGATGAGCGCGCTCAGGAGCACCACCACCTCCAGGCGCAGCAGGCTGCCCTGCACCGTGCTGAGGCTCTCCCGGATGCCGCGTATGGCTGCCCGGCTTACCTCCATCGTGGGCTCGCCTGACTGGATCCACTGACCTGACCAGCGGGGGCTCTCGAAGTGGCAGGAGCAGATCATGGAAAGCCAACGCATTTATCCATGAAGGGAGAAGATGAAACTGAAAGAGAACTGAAGGAAAAAACAGCAAGAAACGGCAATGAATGGAATTGGAATTGTTGTCCATTTACAAGATGCCGAGGTGGCTTCTTTTATGAGTCATGTCTCATGGTCATGGCTTGTGGCGGTGGCATTTCTTGCAAGATAAGAATCTCCCCCAAAGTTTCAAGAAATCTTTCTTCTCTCTGAAACCTGTCAGATATCAAAATCCTTTCTTCTCTCTTAAACCTGTCAGATATCAAAATAGTTACAATATCCTCAGCGGCTGGTAAATTGCCTTTTCTGCTTCTCTGCAAGAGCACGAGTTTGGACCGATGAGATGGCACCAGATGAAGAAAAGAATATATCCCATTCAACATTGGTTTGGAGATGAGCATGAAGATATCAGTTCTCAATACCAGACCATGATCGTAAAGCTGGAAACTTGAGTGCTCAGGGAGAAGAAGCATACTGGCATGAGAAGACGGTCCGAAAGAACCCACGCATTGTGGCTAAACAAGAACTTGAGTGGCTGCTAGGCAAATACCATAAAAAAAACAAAAAACTAGACTAATAGTTAAGCAATTTCCAAGATATTGACTCTGATTCACCATTATAGCACCTCAGCTAAACATGGTATGAAAAGCACAAGCTGGATCAAGCAGGGCATTATGCTACCAGTATCCAGAAACTAAACAACAGTACGATTGGAGTTAATACTACATACGAAGTACCATCACAGAGGCACTAGTTCTCTCAGAGTTGAGGCGTCTTCTTATTTAGGCGAATACTACTTCATTACAGCATTACTGGTCTACTGGGCCATCTGCAGTTGAAGCTTCTTTGCTAGCTCTTCCTTTGCTGCGCCGACAACCCTGTCCTTGACGTCGCCCTCCTTCATGAACAGGAATGTTGGCATGGCCTCAACATTGAATTGCTCAGCAATGGTCTGCTTAGAAAATAGATATCATAACAAACGATGCAATTAACAAGTATATTGTATTATGAGAATCTGAAAAGAGTGTTAGAAAGTTCAACAACCTTCATTTCATCAACATCAACTTTCAGGAAAACAACACTTGGGTGCTTCTTGGCCAGTTCAGCAAAAACTGGAGCTATCATGCGGCATGGTGGACACCATGTGGCAGTGAAGTCAATCACCACCTATTATTACAAGGAAAAGTATATAAATAAGCACGCGTTGAGCAGAAGCATATGAAGTGTGTTGAAAAATAAACCTATCTGATCTTACATTATAAATTGTGATGATTTTGTCACATCAAAATTACCAAAACAACCAAATTCTCAACTCAACGCCGCACCATTTTACAAACAATATCATGGTTTAGGGGTCTAGTGAATAACATGCTATGAATCATCTGATATGTGTAATTGCAGTGACAATGTGATATCATGGTTTGCACGCATTCTTATGAGTATACATAGACAATTCAACTAGAACAGTATTTCGGCATTACAAAAACAAGGGATGATATTAGATGACAACAAGAGTATTCTCTGCAGATTAGAAAATTGTAAGAATATCAATCTGAACTTCTGGAGCAACACAACAAAGACTTTCGGTCCCAAGGATGTTGGGATAGACACACTACACATAATAAAACTGCAGCAATTGTAAAAGGAGATATGCCATCGGCAAATCAACCATAATACTAAAAGTATTTTACTTACAAAGAACGAATGAGTAGGCTGAAATTGGGATCAACCTTCAATGCAGAGCTACACACTTTTTATTATACTAACTTCAAACAAGAGGGCCGAGTTCCACAAAGGATGTTACATTTTTCAACTCTGCTGCTAAACTCCTAGTATATCAGTTATCATATTTCACCTACCGAAAGTATGAAATTCAAAAATGGGAACACGAGATTTCGATTAAAAAGTTAAGATTTTCTCGGGATAAACATAAACCCTTCTTCTATAAATATCCCCTAAGACTCTCTCCACCAGGGAGACGCAAACCCAAAATACGTCCCGCACAGTGCTTTACCTGCCCAAAAACACCCTCCAACGGGTGACCCAAAACACATGACCCATTTTGGGAAACAGCCCAAACAATACGCAAAAAAGCATCGCCTCTCTCCTCCCTACGCAAATCTCCAATGGTGGCCCGCCCGCGCCCGCCTCCGCATCTCACCCGCGCACGCCTCCGCACCGCCGAGGTGGCCCGCTCGCCGCCGCGTCGGAGAAAGCCGCGAGGGCTCCTTTGTTGGAGACAGTCTAACGCAAAACCCAAAATCTGGAATGGGTGTCGTGTTTAGGGCTCCTTTGTTGGAGACAGTCTGACGCACCAACAAAAGGGGAAAACAGATCCAACACGCTTCCCAAATCATGCAAACTAACAAATCCCAATCCGATTTGAATAAGGACAGACTCAGCCTCAAGCCCACAAGTAGGCGAAAACAAACGTATATACCAGGTATAATACACTAATAATCATACCAAACGGTTCGAAATTCTACAAATCGGCACAGACCAAGACAACCTAGTCAAACACACCATCCATCCAGCAGATTCTAAGTGAGCGTAGGCATGGACTGATCTAGCCAGATTCCTTGCAGCGACACACAGAGGGGGGGAGAGGCGAAATACAAAGGCAGAGAAACAAACCAGCTTCTTGGCGCTGTTGGCCTCCTCGATCTGGATGCTCCACTCGTCCAGGCTGTGGATCGCGATCACCGACCCCTCTGCCGGCGCCACCGGTGTCGCCGCCGCCGCCGCCGCCTCCGAAGTCGCCATCTCCGTCTCCCACGCGCACACTGGACGCTTGAGGAGTTGAGGAGGAGCGGACACACTGGACGCAGACACGGAAGGGTTGTTCTTCTGTCTTTCTCTCTGCTTTTCGGGACGCGCTCCGCAAGATATTTATCCCGTGGGACCACATTACGAATATGCCCTTGCGCCCAATAAAAAAAAAGTTCTGTGTAACCCTCGCTATTTATAAAACCAGATTTTCTACCCTAAATTTTTTAAAACCGGTTAAATAACCCCTAAGCAGTTTTGGACTGTGGTTTTACTAATGATGATAGTTTTGTCTTTTTCTTTTTTATTTATTTTCGCTAAATTTTTGAAAAATCATAATAAATCATAGAAAATAATAAAATGGATAAGTAGATCTACACAGTGAATATATAATATGATATTCTTTAGTACAAAGTTTTATCTGTAGCTTTAGATCTCTGATTTTCTGTAATTAAATGGAATAATTTATAACTGCAGCTTCTGTGGTCTAATTATGATGAAATTTTTAATGATGGACTAATTATTGTATGCTTGAATTATAGTAAAAATTTCATACTCATTGGGTCATGTATAACTTAGTTATAGATAAAGCATAGATTTAATAAGCATAAACCTAAATAAATTTATAACTAAGTTATACATGATCTAATGAGTATGAAATTTTTATTACAGTTCAAGCATACAATAATTAATCCACCGTAAAAATTTGACCACAATTAGACCACAGAAGCTGCAGCTATAAATTATTCTAATTAATTACAAAAAGCATATATCTAAAGCTACAACAAAAACTCTGTACTAAAACATACCATATTATACCTTCATTGTATAGATCTACTCATGTGGAGTCCAACAAAATTGTATTTTTTATTTTATGATTTTTCTGTGAATTACTATGTTTTTTAAAGATTTAGCGAAAATAAATAAAAAGAAAAAGATAAAACCACCGTCATTGTAGCAAAACCACCGTCCAAGACCGGAGGGTTATTTGACCGGTTTTGAAAAGTTCAGAGAGTAGAAAATCCGGTTTCATAGCTTGGGGGTGAAGTAGTACACACTAAATAGTTGAGGGGTTTGGGTAGACTTTATATAAAGTGCTTGAAAAATTCAACTAAAAATTTGTTTGGAAAGGTGATGCAAGCATCCGTGCAAAATTTTAGAATGAACAAAAATTTGTACAAGGAGAATAATAAAGAAAATCAAGATGTAATTAGGTCTCCCCGCAAAAAAAAATGTAACTAGGTCGGGTGCACTGTTTACCACTTACCTGGATCCAACTCGCATCAACTGCATGCTAATTTTCTCTTTTTTGTTTCTTCTGTAAAAATTCATCTTCAAATTTTGCATGTATGTAGATCCTTGCATTATCTATTCATCTATATTTTTTTAAACTGTGAAACACATTTTTTATGGCTTTTTTTTAATATAACGGGGGCACGGCCGCACGGGACTGGAGTACCTAACGGTCTGGTCAGCAGGTTAGGTCGTCAGGAACGAACGGCAGGATGCACGTGCTCAGGCAGGCCAAGCCGAATTTTTTACTTTTTTTTTCTCTTTTTTCGAAAGTTTTTCTCAAATAGACCTCTGGCGGAAAGAATTCCAGAAATAGACCCTTGGTTCGGCGCCAGAGTGAGTGGCGCCGAGCCCGGCCACAGCAAAGCGGCTCGCAAAGGGCTCGGGCCAGAGCGGATGATGCTTGAGAGCTCTCGGCGCCACTCACACTGGCGCCGAGCTACCAGATTTAACCCCGCCAAATTCTTCTTCTTCCCCACTGGCGTTCTTCCTCTTCTTTCTCCTCGGTTTTTTTCGCCACTTCATCCTACCTCACGAATCGACATATTGGCCCTTGAAAACCTTGATTTGATCCAGTAGATCTTGAGAGCAAGGTATCCTCGCTCCCCTCCTTGTTTTTTTCGCATCGATTCGGTATATATTAGTCGGATTTTTGAACCTAAGAATCGTCATCACTTAGGGTTTCATTGTATCCCTCAATATATGTATTATACAACTGTAGGTTCATTTCAAGGCGTGAAAAATGCTAGCAAACCAAGCCGCATGTAGTTATGTTATGGGTTTTATTGTTGTGGATGAAATAAGAAACCCTAGGTTTAGGGTATAATGTTAACTGCTTTTGGTTCTTATAACGAAATTGATTGTATTGTAGTTATGGTTCTCACTGATATTTTGTTGTGATGTTTTTATTTATGTTTGCTAAATTACATCCTATTTGTTAGATGCAAGAAATGTTTCAGAGGAGTTTTGGCGAAAAAACGGGTCGTCCTCATGAATTATACCCGACGCGTCTAGCAAAGATGCCCCTGTTTCCTCGACCTTCCCTGCCCTTAATCTTTGTGATTGTGGTTTCCGGCCCATATTTTTTCAATCAAAACATCCGGGACCTGCTGCTGTTGCTTCTACACATGTAGTCGGTTTAATGTAAGAAATTATTTGTACTATCCTTTTTCTTTATTTGTTTAAGTATGGTACTAATATATTATTGGAATCTCGTTGTGTAGGACCATGAGAGGTGCTTTTTCTTTCAGTGGATCGATGGTGCAGAAAAGTTTGATCCTAGGTACCTCTTTTTCGACGATTGGTTTAGAGGGAGACATCCACGTGATCACTTCAAGCGGTGGGTTCCACCCCTAACCCTCCCGGCAATGACGGCTAAGGAGAAGCACCTAGCAGTTAGACGACTCGAGGAACCTCCTGCATGCGATTGCGGAGATCGAAGTGTGATAAACCACGAGAATACGTTGGAGTTTGTGTGTCCAAACAAGCATGAAGTAAGTGCAAAGTGTATGTGTTAAAATCTTGAGCTATATGTGTTTATGTACTTATGTCTTATTATTTAGGTGTATTCAATGGCGAAGTGTCGTTTCAAGGAGTGGTTGTATGGTCCTAAGAACCAATGGCGGAAGAACCGCGGAGGGTTAAGGAAAAGAAGAAAGAACGTGTAATCTACAAAGCACCTCCCGTCATGTGCGAATGTGGTGTAAAATCCAACTATGGCCTAATCCTTTGAGCTTGGAATAGGTCATTATTATGCCATATGATTGAGTATGATGAGGTTTGTTATATTTCGGTAAACATGAAATCGTATTTTGTTTGTTTTCCTAATACATATATGATATAAAATTTGTTTTGAAGCAGAGCACTAGGAAATGCAGTTGGGAATGTTATGATGGTCAAGCTAAGTTCTTGGATGAATTGAAGAAAAGGCAAGTAATTGCACGGAAGAGGGGATATGGACTGACTACGTCAACCTATTCGTTAAACATCACAAAGAAAAGATGTGTGAGTTTGCTAGACAGTAGCGGTATTTGTAACCCGATCGATGTTGGGCTTAACAAATGGGGATTGGAGAGGCGAACGACGTTAGAGGAGAGAGAGGGCAAGGAATGAGGCAAGGGAGGAGACAAGAATCTGATCACGAGGTCTTGGACGAGCATGTTGCTATATTATGTGCCGTTGAGTGCTTGAAAACCTTTTTCCGTTGCTCGGTTTTAAATGTAATATTATCGAGTTGCTAAATGATTGCATTTTATACATCAAGGGATTGGTTGCGGTGGGAACATGTCTGTAGAGGTGGCTCGTGCAAGATATGAGGAGAAGAAGTTAGATGCCCATAGATCACGAGTTGGTCGCACTGTTCAATCATCGATTGTCTTTGTGTGATGATGGAGACGAGGATGAGGACGACACCTGGCGGTGAGTGAGCTCATTGCTTTAGCAGAGGCGGGCATACAGTGAGGAGGTCGACGACGACACATTGTGCATCGAAAGCGAGCTCATCTCTCTAGCAGAGGCGGGCATTCAGCGTAGGGAGGTCGGCGACGACATTTGGCGGTGAAGCGAGCTCATCGCCCCTAGTAGAGGCAAAGCTTACAGTGCAGAGGAGGATGACGCGCGTTCTTCACTCGAGCCGCAATGCCATGCAGACAAAGCGGAGGCCGCTTACTACAAGCGACAGGTGAGAGTAACTTAGCTTGAGCCTAGCCGCACACAACAGGGTTGTAGTAGAGGACTGATACTCGGATGATGAGTTGCTTACTCGAGACGTTTTGATTAAGGATTTGGAAGTGCATTTGCCCTTTTTGTCTCTTGTCGACACTTAGTTATACTATTAATATGTTGTGTAATATGACATAGTATCAATGGTCTTAATATTCCGCTAAATAATACTGGACTTATTTCTATTTGAACACGTGCGCAAAAAAAGCAGTTAACGACATACGATATTATAGAAATCAACATACTGAAACACATTAAATGGCATGTGACTAGGTGTACAGAACACAGGTACATAGTTTTCTTTGACTAAACCTAACATGCCTTAGGTAATTAAACCATGCCTTGAGTAATTAAACCTAACATGCCTTAGATAATTAAACACAGGATTCTCCACAAGAAAAACATAAACTCATCCTAGTAGTGTGGCCACATAGCAAATTGTGTTGCACCTTCTCCATAGTAGCCTCCGTTGTTGTTGGTGGTGGTGGCGGGGTGATGGGGAGACCCTTTTTCACCGTGGTTAAGGCGGGTGCAATATGGATCATTGCAGAGTGCCTCCGTGAATCGGCACCATTGTTGTTGTCGCCTGTTCGTAAATGCGTCCTTGTAACCATTTGCTAACTTCCCTTTCTAGATCGAAGATACGGTCTTGTAGGTAGTAGATGTACTCGCATGCGGATAAATAGGTCGAGGATCGACCCACCCACTGAACCCATAGTTATCTTCTGTCAAGGAAGACTACAAAAAGTATGTCGTGTAAGTGATATACAAGACAAACATAATGAAGAAACAAATAGTAAAAGAAATTACCCATGCTCGCGGGCATTTGAAGAAACGACGACCTCCATCTATTCCCTCGGTGAACATCTGCACTAGGCAGTCCTCACCATGCATGCATTTTGGCCACTCTTCTTTCCTTTCATCGTATCCTGTCAGTGGTGCCTCTTTGATGAAATCACTTTTGCTCTCTACTGGGAACCTCT